ATTTTCTTTAAAATAATAAAAATAGGAAGAATGTAACTAAGTCTGTGTGAATCTACCAGGAAACCTTCAGATCTAACCGCTGTTCAACCAATCAGAAGCACCCTCAATAAATGATTCATTAGAGACCAAGTCAGCCCCAGCTGACCTCTGACCCCAAAAGCATGGCTGCTGGGAACAGGAAGGATACAATGTAGCCGGCGGGGATCCAGTGCGCCGGCAGCAGCGGGACGAACACACCGAAGCCGGCGATGGCGAAGTAGGCGTACAGCAGCCACGCCAGCAGCTGGAAGGGATGAGGCGGCCAGCTCCAGCCATTTGTCCGGGAGCAGAGCGGCACGTCGGACCGCCGGGAAGCGTCCTCACTGACCGGCGCCGTGCGGTTCGGGTTCCTTCCGCACACGTCCATCCTGCAGACACACAGACAGGCTGAGGATGAATGAAGGAGATCCTGCTCCCTCAGAAGGACCGCGGTCAGGAGACGCTGCTGCAGGAGGAACCTCAGCGTCACTCAGGTCCTAAACCTCAGATCGGGTCACATTCTGGGAGATCAGCTGACCTCCTGGCTTTCCTCATGGCTTCTGTTTATTCCCTGAGCTTAAGGGTTCCCACAGGTTTCCTAAAGGATCCCAGTGAGGAGAACTAAAGCCAAACCAGCTCCTCTCTGCCTCATTATCTGATTTTTAACATTAGAAACTTTAATAATATTTCTCTTTTTTACAGACAAGATCAAAGGTTAGCAGAAAAGTGAAGAAACAGCTTCATCAGGATGTGAACAAGGTATCAAAGGAAGACAAAATAAATCAATCCGGTGGCTTTGCTCCTTCAATATTTAGCGCTCTGATATCTGCATCTAGCTGACAGAAGCTATGAACTGAGCATTCAGTGTCTAAATCTAATAGTTTAGAGAAACAAATCATTTTTGATAGATAGTTTCCCTTTACACAGGAAGCAGCTGCTGTCACACCTGATGCAGGTAAAGCTCACAGTCAGTTGGAAGCATCGCTACGCTTCATTAGAAAGGGGGAGGGTCTGAAAAATGGGGGATTTTAAAGAAATCCCCTGAAGTTTGTTATCAGAACAGACGTCCAGGATGAAGGTTTATTCCTGTTAAAACCGAGTTGTACCTCTCCACTGTTGCCATGTGCTTGCAGGTGGATGTGCATCGGATCAGATGAAACTATAACTGCTTCCTAATCTAAAAAAAATCCATAAACTTAAGAAACTGTACATAAAAACCTCTTGATCTCACATTGCAAAGCTTTTTTTGGGAAGTTGTCTTCATTACGGGTCATAGATGCAGAGTTTCTATTGTCATAAATGAATAACGATGGTTCAGTGGGTGAAATGGACGTACAGAGAAGTTCAAACCCATCAGCATCTCGTTTCTCTGCAAATCTCATGATTCCAAACTTAGGCGATAAAACGGGTGAATCCAAACAGAGGATGGCGAGGAATATATCACCTTAGAAAATAACAGCTTTAATCTTCCTGTTAATCTGAACCGTTATGTCTGAATGTTTATTGAGTGCAGCAGCTTCATCTGCCTCCAGAGCTCCTCCATAGTTTCATTCCCTCCTCAGCAGCCATCAGATGCTAATCAGCCAGCGGTGAGGAGGCTGCTCGGATCCGGTCCATCCATCCGGATCTTCTGCATCTGAGACGTTCTTCTGATAGAAAACATCTGATCCAGCTGAAGCTGGGGAACCAAAGCAGGACGGAGCCCGGACCCAGAGGCGGCTTACCTGGCTGAGCCTCAGCGACCGGTTCCGGAGACTCGGCTCTTCATCTCAACCCGCAGCGCGGAGCTTCTACCGAGCCTGGGTGGGTCTCTGAGGGGAAACAGAGGGTCGCTCCGGTGAAGCACAGGCCCAGACCAGACCGTCCCAGTCAGCTCCACCGCTAGCTGGGCTCCATCCCCGCAGCGGAGCCGCTCAGTCCGTTAGAGGCGCTAAGCGGCTAACTAGCCCCCGGAAGGCGGGCTAAGCTACCAGCCGGATAACAGAAGCCTTCGCTGGGCAGGAACGTCCAGCAGCGGGACGGAAGGTTGACTTTACCGCTGAAAGTGAAGCGGCTCAGCCATAGATATCCATAATAAAGGCTTTATTATGGATATCTATGGGCTCAGCTAGCTGCCGTCCGGCTGCGGCTCAACGGCACGTAGCTTTGTACGCCGTTTCCTTGGTAACGCTCCAAGGGTGCTACGATTGGTCAGCGTCAGTCAAGACCCGCCCAGCGTCCTTTGGTACCATCGAATTTAGCTACTAGGTCATGTGACGGTACCATGGGCGGTTCTAGACAGGGGCCACCGGGGGCCAGTGCCCCGGTACTGAAGACATTATAATTTGTTACTTTTTTTTCTTTGCAAATTCTGTTTTACTAAATATTTAAAGACAATAATGCGATAATGAGGCTTCAGTGGTATTGAGATAGAATCTAAGGTTTTCATCTACTAAATGTTTTCTTAATGCTATAATTTTTACAGGGGAATTTATCAGCTTTTCTTGAGTTCTAATTCAGATTTTATAAAAAACGGTAATTTTAACAGTAAATTAAGTGAAAAATATGTAAAATCCATAAATCCTCAATGTATATTGACCTTGTAGGAAATAGAATTTTAATTAAACCTAATTGAATGGAAATTTTCCTTCATGCAGCTCTCTTCATTTATTTTAATCCCTTGTCCTGTTTTTTATTTCATGCTTTTCTGTTCCTCCATGAAAACAACGCTGGCCCCCTCCTTGCCCCCTCCTGGCCCCCTGGTACATTAGGTCTAGAACCGCCACTGTGTAGGTGTAAAGTGTTTGTTCCCACCTCAAATTAGTTTACTGCATGTCTGTCCTTCTCACCGATCGAGAGCACTACAGAGGTAGAGTAAAGCGACTCTGACTGCTTGGAACCGCGGGCCGCTGCAGATTTTCTCTTAAAGGAAAGCCGTTATTTTAAAAATGTCCTGTTTTTGTTCCCTATAGCCTACTTTTGTTTTTCTGTAAAGAATACTATTAAAACTGAACCTATATTATCCAAGTTGTATGTGATTTAACAGCCGTCAATAAAGTTCTATACTCATAAATCAATTCAGTTTTGTTTATTTCTGTTTCGCCAGTTTACAGCAGATGTCATCTCAAGTCACTTTATAGAAATAATTCAACCAAATCATTCAGAGATTGGTTCAAAGTTGAAAACCAGCTGATGGCATTGACTCATCAGCAATCCCTCACACCAAGCATGTATGAAGCGATAGTGGGTAGGAAAGCTCCCTTTGAACAGAAAGAAACCTCCAGCAGAACCAGGCGCTGCACTAGCAAAACAAATATGCTAGAATTTATTGCCAAAATATTTTATCAAAAATATTTTGAAATAAAATTATTGCTTGGTAGGAGATAACAGGAGCTTGTTAGTGCAGACACCAAACGGTCATCCTGAAGAAGCAAATCCTGCAAAGTCAGAACAGATGCAATCAGCTTGATTTCCTTAGAAAACCTCTGACCAATCTGACCGTATGGCTCCATCTGTAAAGTGAGATGACATTTCTTGTAAATCGGCATCAGATAAATAAACGGAAATTCAATTGCAATGCAGAATGGCTGGTTCCTCTGTGCTTATCATCACATCAGTTGCTTATTTCTGTAAAGAATGTCCTGCCATTAATGGAAAACAAGGTTAAGGAGTCAGTTTGGGGACATTTGTCCATTAATATCATTCATTAAGCGGAGGAGCTAAAATTATTCTGTAAAGAAATGTTTTTTTAATTGCTCCCTATGATGATATATTATATGTCATTATTATTTAGTTATTTATCTTTAATAATATTCTTTTAAATGAACCATGATGAAGCTTAAAGAAGGTGGGAAAACTCCAACTGTGATTGCAACAGCTAACAAATTTATATTAGATGAAAAAGAGGAAGATGTTTAAGCGTTGGGCTGAAATCCTGCAGTGCATTAAATGACTGCGTGACTTTGGTGGATTTCTGTTAACTATTGAACCAAACATGCTGTAAAATGAGAAACTCCCTGACATCAATGCTTGCATCATGTTTGTCCTTAAACTGAGACCATAAAACCCATTTTATCTTTTGTTCTATGGCCTACGTTCAGGGACGCTGTCACCCACATGGAATTAGCTCATCTCATTTCATATCCCTGCTCTTGCTTGTGTCACAATGGAGGAACAGATGAGGTCCAAACTAAATAAAATGTTATGCGAAACGAGTGGGATCCAAATCAGGCAGGATCCAGTGTTCAGTGATTGCATCAGTGCTGATCAGTCTGAGCATCACTATAACTGCAGGAGCTTTGATAGTTTCCTACTAAGGAGCAAACAGCTGCATGTGTAACACACCAAGCACCTCAGCAAGGAGCATCTATTGCTGCAATCAACCAGGAGCTGTTAGAAGGACTCAGACGGCAACAGGACGGTAAATATAAACTACGGTACCTAACACTTTTATATGCTTAACATAGATTTATAAAATAAAAAGAGTTTTATAAACTGTGTCTTTAAAAGCTATATTACATCTCCCTTTCGAAGCAGATTTTTATTTAAAAAAAGCTGTTTTGACAATTTAGTTTTAAACATTACTTGTTTGATTGCTTTTATTCATTATATGTAAAAAGAATGGCAGTATAAATACATTTTAGTTACTTTTTTTAATTTTTATTTAACCTTTATTTAACCAAGAAGTCCCATTGAGATTCAGAATCTCTTTTTCAAGAGAGACCTGGCCAAGGTAGCAGCCAAACCACAGGAAGTTCATACATATTTACAACATATTACATTGCAAAATAAAAAATAAAGAATTAAAAAAT